ATATATATATAAGTAGAATGAGACATAAGAGCATCTACAATGACCAATGTATTGTTCTATTTCATTGTCATGTATCCCCGAGGATCCTATGTGTCATTTCGAATATGTAGAAGTATTTTTAGATGCAAAAAGACTTCTACACATCTTTTACTATATATTAAGTTATTTATTTTATACTTCTTTTTCCACCAACCAATTATTATCGTGCATGTGTCAAATTACTCCACAATTGAAATTAAATGTTTTTAATTCTTTTATGCACACTATGCATCCCTCGATAAACATTGTGTCATCGGAGTTGCTCTAAATTTGAGTGATGTGATAGTGTAGGGTCTGCAAGTGTCCAAATCAATTTTAAATTGAAACAAGTTAGAGTTATTTTGAAACAAATTTGATTTATTAGGTAGATGTAATGTTTTATATCCACACAGTGACACACAATTTCCTGATCTTGGTGGATTATTTTGGGTGAAAACTACACTTAACCTACCTAACTATAGGGTTTTTTTCACTTTATCCATTCAATTTTTTTTTTTCGTGACACTTGTCCATATAACATTCTAAATAATTTCACTTAACTGATTTACGGTCTTCGTCCGGACATTTCTAAGGGCAAAGTGTAAATAGAAAAGAAGTTGAATGGATAAAGCGCAAAGAAAGATATAGGTACAACTCGAGTGGGTCACTCAATACGAACAATGTGGACAGATCAATTCCGAGGACTCGACCAAAACCTAATTGATTTGTGCATTAACTCAGTTGAGTCAACTCAATTTGACTCGACCAATCTTTATTTTTATAATTTTAAAAATAAAATTATATATCTAAATTTAAGTGGTGAATATTTACAACGTGATAACTATCGTCAAACTTTTAGTATAAAAGTATAGTAAGATAGAATATATAATTTTTAAATTCTTAAAATTTATTTTTCATTTAGCCAATTTCATTACACAAAAACATCTCAAGTGTACCAACCTGAATGTATCAATAACATTAGAAATTTTGTATGTATCACGTCTTCTTGTATCTTAAGTTGTAAAGAGCTTGTGCACGTGAAGCGTAGATACTGTGAATCTCAATCTCACTACACTAATGAATAATGATACCTATTGAGTAAAACCATTGATGTTACTGCGTGAGCTAGTATAACAACTTATGTGTTTGTGAACAGCTTATAAAAACAGGATTTTTAATGACATATTATTTGAGGTACTTATTGTAGTAACTCTCTAATATAACCTTTGACAAAAAAGACCTCTGTCACGCTGCCTCCCAAAACCTGTTAGGAGAGATGAATGCAGCTATCGTCAAGGTCCAATTCCACCTCCGTGTAAAGAATTTCATTTCTCTGTTCATTAGAAAATCATTCCCTCGGCTTATATGTCACCATTAGGGGTCCGCGATATATGGCATTAGGGGTCCGCGATATATGGCATGTTTAAGCTTCATGGCAAATTGCAGCTCCCAATAATAAATCGCACTCGTTGTGTTGCGAACTTTCGCGAGAATAGGCATGATATATTCCTGTCTTTTCCAAAATTCAGTATACTTGTCATGATCGAGGTTTTCTACATTGTCGGGGTCATAGTATCGCTGGTAGGGGACACCATTGTTCTCTAGAAACTCATCAACCGCATTTGTCAAGCATATGAATCATTTGACAAATCTCTTGACAAATCATTTGTCCAAGCATATTTTATGTAATTTTTCACAATTTAATGTCATATAATATTTTCAATAAATTAGTATAGGTAAATTTTAATCGATTCTATATTTTTTATTTATAAACATTATTAATGAATATTTTTAATCAATAAATATTAATGAATATCTTATCCACCTAGTATTTTTAGGGAGATTATACGGTCTCGTTACGAAATCATTCTGTCGGAGTTTGTAACTATTAGATCAACTATCCACGACGATTATATGATGTTCTAACGATTACAAATCCGACGGAATGGTTCCGTAACGAGACTCGGTCTTTTTATGATGTTCTAACGATTTGCATTTTTGTTGTCGAATTTGTAAGGTAACAACGATCGATGCTGCGTTTCTGGTTTTCTTCGTTATCTTCCAGAATTTCTTGTGGCCGCTAATATTTCACCTTCATATCGTCTCTTTTCCGTACTTATCCCATTAATTATTGTTAGAATATCACTTGTGAGTTGTCCCACATCGTTCATACATATAGATCCACCTTATAAGTCTAATGAGATACTCCTCCTTCCATCAATTAGTTTTGAGATAAAACCTCATTTGGGCTTCATATGAGCTTTTCCCCGTTTATGGTGCGTTTCATGTGAGTGGGACCGCACCCATTTTTCCTTTCTTACAATTATAAACAGACTGGTAGCCCATATGCCTATCCAAAAAAAATGGCTTCCAAAATCCTCCATATCCCTGTCATTTACAACCTCAAACAAGCATCTACTTTCTCACTGTCCAGTTCATTTTCTGCACCACAATATCATCATCCTAAATCAACAAGTATCCCACCGAGATGCACTCTCCCAAACCCACCTGCCACGAAAGAAGAAGCCATCCTTCAAGCAAAGACATCGCTCTTGTCCGCCATAGAGAAAAACCCGAAAAAGCTCAAGAAAATAAAGCAGCCGAGGTTTCGGGTTGAAATCCCGGTTATTGACGACTCGCCGAATTCACTTTCTCAATTGGCTCTCCAGGTGTTCGGCGAAATGCCCATGAGAAGAAAAGGCCAGAAAATGAAGGTTGTTTTGTTGTGGGGCAACGAGGATTTAACACAAGCTGCGGTTAAGGCCTTTGGTTGTGTCTCCTGTGTCCAGAATGTGGACATTGCGTCATCTAATCTGGTGGATGAAGATATCCGGTCAGCTGACATGGCAGTATTTATGGCGCCTGAGGCCTCCCGGCTGGCAGTCATGAAGACGGTTGGTGACAGCTTGTACCCGAAGCCTTTGGTGATTTTGAATCCCGGGTGGAGTTTTGAGGAGGAGATTGATTTGGGAGGCTTTGCGGGGTCGTTCCATGTGATTTATTCGTTCATGGGGTTGGAGGTTAGGGGTATATTCAGCAGTAGAAAAGGGGTAATCTTCAACTGTACTGGGGACACATGGCATGTGTTTGTGGAGGAAGACGGGGAACTGAGAGCCGTTTCAAGTTTCAAATCTCGGCCGTCCATGCCGGAGGTCGAGAATGTCTTGTATAATCTGATGGCTGTTAATTCCCCGGTTACTAAGTCGGCTAGGTTCTTGAGAGATTTGGTTTCCAATGTCATTGGGAGAAATAAGTAAGAAAGATGACATTGTGAATTGTTGTTTTCAATTTGTCATCAATGTGGTGAGTACTTGGTATTGTTATATGATGTTCATACCGATGAGCAAATGGTCCACCAAATCAGACTCCAAAATCTAGCATCGTCTCTACGAAACTCAATTTTCTAGGAAAATTGGAACCAACTAAATCTAAACGTGCAAATATTAAAAAATATTTCTTACCCGTGCATCGCACGGAATTCGTACTAGTAATGTTTGAAAGACACTGAAAAAAAATCCTTAATCTAACAAAAGATTATAATCGTTAATGGGTCTGAACGGCGCCGCCAGCCACGTAAGTGCCGAATGTGTAATTTCGGAGCTGACAGACGATGGCGATTTCAACCGCTCGCGTCTCAAAATCATTCGTAAATTGAAGGAAAATGTGAGTTTTATGTACATCTTGCATGTTGTGTATGCCTTTTGCCTAGATAATTTTTCTGTGGGCTTTCTTCTATGTTTTCAAATGTGTTAGCTCTGTTTTCATTATCCTTTGATTTCTACATTGAACCGTTTCGGACGAATAGAGATGTGAAATTTTGGCGATGGGCTTCGAATGTGTCTCTGTTAAGGTAGATTTAGTGGGTTCTTTCCTGGGAAGATCCTAATCTGGGGTTGAATTTTTTTACTTATGACACTATTTTGATAAAAGCTGAGCTTTCAGAGTGTTTTGGGACTGGTTAAAGGTTCCTCTTTGGTGGGGTTTACCCCCTCATTGTCTGATATTCCCCGGTTTGAACTTGTGCCAGTGAGTTTATAGGGTCTATTTTGGAATTGTTTGATAAAGGTTAAGTCTTTGAAAGTGTTTTGGGGCTGGTTAAAGGACCCTCTTTGGTGGGGTTTACCCCTCTTTTGTCTAAAATTTCTCCATTTAGAAATTGTGCCAGTGAGTTTATAGGGTCCATTTTGGAACTTGCCGATAAAGGTCGAATCCCGAGACTGTTTTGGGACTGGTTAAATTATCCTATTTGATAAGGTTTTCCCCGCATTACCTGAAATTTTTCCTGTCAGAACTCGTGCCAGTGGTCTGCTGATGACTCCATCATGCTGTATAGTCACCTTCGATTTTATTTATTAGATAAGACTTTCGGAAGGCATAATGATCTCCGGGTGTGGATTAAACGACAACATACTGAATTTTGGCGAGGATGAACAACTATTTGCTTGGTTTTAATTTTCAGTAGTTCCAGCTTTGTGTATCTTAGCACTGGGAAGTGGGATCATTTTATGTTGCCCCCCATGCTTGATTGTGTTTGCAAGTGATCTTATGTTTTTCTATGTTACATGGACTTTTTCTATAACTTACTGTAGACAAATGCACGATAGTCACATGAAAATATGCTTCATGACTTCCGAAATTTCGTCCGAGTTCCTGCTGAATTTCTCAGATGATAAAATTCGACTCTAATTCTGTGTATTTCAGGGACGAAGTGATGACCCAAATTTCTGATGGTGTGTGGAATGTAATCAGATCTGCTGATGGCATGAAAAATGAAATAACCGAAATTACAGTCAGTTCACAACAAACTATCAAATTCTAGTCGGAAAGACAATGGTGAATCATCATCTCAAAGAGATTCACATTCAGCCCGAAACGAACATGAGACTAATGGTGAGGTTGGTGAAGCTATCAGAAACAATGGTGTTTTATCAGATTGAGAGCCAAATGAGTCACCAGGATCTGGTTCGGGTAATGTAAACCAGAGAAACAAGAACAGACAAATGAACCAACCAGACAATAACTGTATGTCCGCCCCTCATAAGGGACAAGCAAATGGAAGAACACAATGGAGACAGCTTGCACGTGAAGGATTTGTCGCAGGCTGAGAACTCAGGTATAAGTTTTACGGTTGTCGAGACTCATCATGTATAATCTATTATAACTCTATGAAAAGGAAGAGTGGTTTGTTGAAATTTCTTGAATTGCAAAAAATATCCTACAACACTGTATACAAATTTTAAGGTTACTAATGTAGTTTGATTAATGTTTGGGAGTTGCAGTAGACATCAATAGTTTATAAACCTTCATTTTTCACTTTACTTTTGTTCATTATTCTTATTTTTTTGTTCTTTGTTTTATCTTTGTTCTTCTTCAATTTTTTTGTATACTTGTGTATTAAAAAGATGATTTTTTTGGAGCTTTTTATACATAACAGAAAAGATTAAGATTATGTGATACTTATCATTCTTCAAAACCTTTTGATGCCTAAACGTGTTCTGCCCTCAACATTGCCTAGAGAGTTGATCACTGTTGCTTGTTCCCTCTTTGAGGTTTTTCTCTTGAATGGATACTGAAGGTATGAACAGATTGCAAAAAGTAGCATTGGAGTTTTTTTTTTTTTTTTTTTTTTTGATTAAAGAAGCGAAAGAAATGATAAGTAATTATTAGCACACAAATTAATATCATCAGGTTTCTACATAGCTGGTAATCCGAGTTACTGATTGTCATTAAAGTATAACGACAACTGGACTTCTGACCGTGTGCCGAGCCGAAGTCCATGTGAGAAATCCCTGAACGATCGTGTTGCTTCTTGCATTGGCCAATCTGCGGAACGTCACTTGGTATGTCAAATTCTGGCCGAGCCCCGAAAACTGAAGGCTCGTAGGCTCCACCCTCAGGTCTACGCTCGGCAGCTCGGTGAACCCCACCGTATAAACCGAATTAGCCTCGCCCACATTGGTGACTGTCCTGTTATAACTCAGGGGAGAACTTCCAAGAGTAACCGAGAATGATGGATAATTCAGTTCCCCTTCTGTTATGGCAGGAATTTCCGAGCACCTGACGGGACGGTTTACAATTATCTGGACCTGTTGGTCTGTGTAATTCAATCCACAGAGATAATTCACGTAATCTTCGGGCCGAATGTCGTAAACGAGCCCTGGATCCGTAGCCCTTAATAAGTTGACTTGGCCCGAGCCCGTGGCAAGGAGGCTAGCGGGCCTCTGATTTTGGTCTTCAATGGGATTTCCAGCTTGGTTGACCCGATCGGCGGTGGTCATGAGGGCCGACTTGATTACTGCCGGTGACCAATCAGGGTGCGCGTTTCTCAGCAAGGCCGCGACTCCACTGAGGTGAGGACATGACATTGAGGTTCCCGATATGATATTGAAGTTGGAATTCGTGTTGCTGTTGTTCTCGACCGAGACATGCCAGGCTGCCAGGATGTTGTGCCCGGGCCCAATAATATCCGGTTTCAGAATTCCGGGGCTCGCCAGGTTCGGGCCCCTGCCAGAATACGATGCCACCGCTGGGGCCCGGTCATCACCGAAAACAGTTCCCCTGAACAAAATCGTCGCCATTGGGGACGACGTCGAGTTCAAATACGCCTGGATTCTCAACCTTTCGGCATAGCTGAGGTGCGCGGTTGGAAGAACATGGGAATCGGAATCCGTGGTGTATCCCTGAGATTCCTGGTTGACAAGGATCATGGCGGCCCCACCGGCATCCCTGACAGCATGGCCTTTAGCAATCCTCGTTATACCCCCGCCGGTCTCACACAGAACAACCCGCCCCCGGACTTGTGCGTTTGCCAGCGATGCCGGCGTGCAGAACGAAGCATTGGGGTTGCTCGTATTTGCCCCCGGATAAACGAGCGGTAGAGGAGTCGCCGGAAAATCAGCCGGCTGAAAAGCCGTCTCGCCGTCTAACTCCTCATCGTTCCCTAGGACCACTGCTGCCTGTATTCTCCGGTCGGTCGTGCTGGAACCTACGGACAGCACCCATGGGGCCCCATTCTGAACGCCGCCAAGAAACGGGCCGTTGTTTCCAGCCGAGGCGCTTACGAATATTCCCCTCTCGACCGCGCTGAATGCTCCGACCGCCACAGCGGTGAGAAAGTCGAGCGCGAAAACTCCGAGGGAGAGCGACAGTATATCCACTCCGTCGTCGATGGCGGCATCCATGGCAGCGAGAATATCGCTCTCCGGGCAGCGCGAAGAGTCGCACACCTTGTAGACAGCTAGATGGGCGAGCGGCGCGATTCCTGACGCGGTCCCGTTGGCGTTTCCGAACACATTTGCGCCAGCCACGAAGTTCCCGGCGGCGGTGGATGCCGTGTGGGTCCCGTGGCCGTCCTCGTCGAGAGGCGTGCCGTTGCCGACGTTGAATCGCCTGGCGCCGATGAGCTTGTTGTTGCAGGCGGCGAGCTGGCAGACCCCGCGCCACCTGGCGGGGGGCGGGGGCACGCCCTCGTCGTGGAATGACGGGTGGTCGGGGGTTATGCCGGTGTCGAGGACGCCGATAATCACGCCCCTTCCGTAGTTGGAGTCCCTCCAGAGACCCGTGTTTTGGGCGAGGCCCAGGAAAGTGGGGGAGTGGGTCGTGTGGAGATGGAGCGTCTCTTGAGGGTGGGCCGAGATGAAACCGGGCTTGGTCTCGAGTGCTTTCGCCTGCTCGGGGGTTAGCCTGGCGGCGAAGCCTTTGAAGACGTGGTGGTACGAGTACATGATGTGGGGCCCGTCGGACGAGGTTGTTGGGGTTGAGGGCAAGAACGTCTGGTACCAGCCTTGGAGATCGTCTGAAAGGCTGCTGGAAGGCAACTCAACATGGACAATATATGTGTTTAAGGTTTGGGTGTCACCAGCTGAGCTTACTGCAAATGTGGTTTTCAAGTTGAGCAGCAGAGATGCTAATGTGAAGAGGAAGAATATGTAATAATAAACCATGTCTGAAAAATCTATGATTAAGAGAGAAAAACACTTGGATAACTTGGAAAAAAATGGATAGTTTGATACACTTATATATAGTATTTTGTATTTACTGTTTACATTCGTCTGCTTCAAAATATATGAGCGTTGGCAAATTTAAATAATAGGTATTCATATTTCATAAAATACAATATTAAAATTAGATGGAAATGACCCGGAGAGACTGGTGTTTGGAAATTATGAAGGGATTAAGATGATTGGACAATGAGGTCAAGTAGACCTTGACTGTGCTATTATTAAGCTTTTAATTCGTGTTGATATGAAAGAGTCATTTTAGAAGTGATCTGAGTAGAAATAGAATAAGTAGCAGCGTGATTGAAGGGTTACTTCAATTTCCAAGAAAGAGAACGGAAAGGAGCAAAGCTGCCGGGACAAAAACAAATAGTTTCGACTTGTGTAAGTAGACATGATCAAAATTCGAGCCGGGCCCCAACTTGACCCGGCCCGATGGGTCTTTGTGTCCAAAATGATTGACTCGGAACATACCCTTATTTAGGTCCGTGTTGGGTCTGTGGCCCGGTGATTTAGGCCGGGTTGGTGACCTGGTGATCCAGGCCACGCCGGTTCGGTCGAGTTTGGCCCAGACCGGTCGTATTGAAAAAAACTGATGCAGACCCTAGTAAGATATTGTCCGCTTTGGGCTACTTCCGCCACCCGCACGACTTTGTTCTTGGCTGGGCTTCAATACACACCCACCAAAACGCGTCTTACTAGTGAAGGTATCCACATCCTCATATAAGGCCTGCTTCGTTTCCTTTCAAACCCGATGTGGGATGCGCTGCATCATCCACCCCCCTTGTGGGACCAGCGGTCACCGCTGGCACATGGGCTGACTCTGATACCAACTGATGCAGACCCTAGTAAGATATTGTCCGCTTTGGGCTACTTCCGCCACCCGCACGGCTTTGTTCTTGGCTGGGCTTCAATACACACCCACCAAAACGCGTCTTACTAGTGAAAGTATCCACATCCTCATATAAGGCCTGCTTCGTTTCCTTTCAAACCCGATGTGGGATGCGCTGCATCATCCACCCCCCCGTGTGGGCCCAGCGGTCACCGCTGGCACATGGGCTGGCTCTGATACCAACTGATGTAGAACGTGATATGTAAACAGGGAAGAACGAGATACTCTCTCGTGAAAATAGAACACCAGATAATTTCATAAAATTTTTCAATCGTCTTCTTCAATCTCACATCAGCTAATAAATAGAAAAGAGAGTCCTACCTTGTCAAACAACTGCAAGGCATTTATTTTCTTACCTAAATTAAAATAGGAAATAAGGAAAATGCATAAATAAAAGGAAAGGGAAATAAAATAAATAAAGAACTAAATCCGAAGTCGATCAAATTTATCCAAATATGCCAAGGCAACCTCGTCTCCATGAGGAATTACCGTATGAGTCCGGCGGAACATGAGGAATTACGTCGCCAGGTGGAGGAACTTCTCCAGCGAGGGGTGGTGCGCCGGAGTCTGAGCCCGTGTGCGGTGCCGGCCCTCCTCATTCCAAAAAAGGATAGTTCTTGGCGTATGTGTGTTGACAGCCGTGCCATTAACAAGATTACTGTTCGTTACCGGTTCCCGATCCCTCGACTTGATGACTTATTGGATCAGTTACACGGGGCTTCTGTTTTTACCAAGCTCGACCTACGTAGCGGATATCACCAAATTCGTATTCGGCCGGGTGACGAGTGGAAGACAGCCTTTAAGATCCGGGAGGGTTTGTTTGAATGGATGGTGATGCCTTTTGGGCTTTCAAATGCCCCGAGCACGTTCATGCGTGTTATGAACCAGGCCTTGCGTGATTTCATTGGTAAGAGTGTCGTTGTTTATTTCGACGATATTCTTATTTACAGCCGTTCTGTGGAGGAACACTTACAGCATGTTCGGGAGGTATTCTTGGTGTTGCGTGCTGAGTCTTTTTTCGCCTCTCCTCGTAAGTGTGTTTTTCTGGTTGATTCTGTGCTTTTTTTGGGGTTTGTTATTTCTGCTGATGGGATTCGTGTGGACGATAGTAAGATAGCGGCGATCCGTGATTGGCCTACTCCTACGTCTTTCACGGAAGCGCGCAGCTTCCACGGGCTTGCCTCTTTTTATCGTCGTTTTATTTCACACTTTAGCACGATTACTGCCCCTATTACTGATTGCTTGCATGGCAAGACATTTTTGTGGACCCCACAGGCTGCCGAGGCTTTTACCGTTATTAAGAGTAAGTTGACGACTGCCCCAGTCCTCGTTTTGCCAGATTTCACGAAGACATTTGAGTTGTCTTGTGATGCTTCGAAGGTGGGCATCGGCGCTGTTCTCAGCCAGGATGGCCGTCCGGTTTCCTTTTTCAGTGAGAAGTTGTCTGGGCCGCGTTCGAGGTACAATACCTATGATGTGGAATTTTACACCGTGGTCCGGGCTGTCCGTAATTGGCGACACTACCTATTTCATAAGGAATTTATTCTTTTCACCGACCATGAGGCGTTGCGTCATTTAGCTTCGCAGGACAATATATCTGCTCGTCATGCTTCTTGGGCCGCCTTCCTTCAGCAATTCACTTTTGTGATTCGACACCGTTCGGGGCTGTCCAACAGAGTGGCAGATGCATTAAGTCGACGGGCCCTTTTATTGTCGGATATGCGAGTCGCGGTTGTCGGCTTTGATACATTACGCGAGTTGTACGCGACGGATGCGGTTTTTGGGCCTATCGTGACACGTCTTTCGCGCGGGCCGGTCGAGGATTACATACTCTCGGACGGGTTTCTTTTTCGCGGGTCCCGTTTATGCATTCCAGAGGGTAGCTTGCGACACAAGCTTGTGGCCGACCTTCACGGCGCCGGGCATGTAGGCCGTGACCGATCAGTGGATTTGGTGAGCCGACGCTACTTTTGGCCGTCACTTCGTCGTGATGTGGCTCGCCACGTGGAGCGTTGTCGGGTGTGCCATGTGTCGAAGGGCGTTGCTTCGAATGTCGGGCTTTATCGGCCCCTTCCTATTCCGTCACAGCCATGGTGCGCCATCAGTATGGACTTCGTGTTGGGCCTACCGCGGACTCAACGCGGTTTGGACTCTATCTTTGTGGTCGTCGACCGGTTTTCGAAGATGGTGCACTTTGTACCTTGTAAGCGAACCACGGACGCCGTGCATGTTGCTCTTTTGTTCTTCCGTGAGATTTACCGTCTGCATGGGCTTCCCTCTTCCATTGTGTCGGATCGTGATACTCGCTTTTTGAGTCACTTTTGGCGTAGCCTGTGGCGTATGGCGAACACTCAGTTATCTTTCAGTAGCGCGTACCACCCTCAGACTGATGGACAGACGGAAGTAGTTAATCGTTCGTTGGGCAATTTGCTTCGCTGTTTGGTGGGTGGCAACCTTCGTAGTTGGGACCAGCGCTTGAGCCAGGCCGAATTTGCTCACAATTCGGCGGTGAGTCGGGCTACTGGTTTGTCCCCTTTTCAGGCTGTTTATGCGGTTCAACCGCGGGGCCCATCCGACCTCGTCGCTCTTCCTTCTGGCACAGACGATCGTCGGGCTACTGATTTGGTGGCGGATTTGCAGGCCACTCATGCGGCTGTCCGGGCCCGCTTAGAGGCGACGACCGCAGCTTACAAGCATCGGGCGGACGTTCGTCGGCGGCACGTCGAGTTCGACGTTGGCGATTATGTTTGGGCGGTTCTCACTAAGGATCGTTTCCCGGCTCATGAGTTTAACAAGTTGTCGGCTCGGAAAATTGGCCCGGTGGAGATAGTGGAAAAGATTAATCCGAATGCATATCGCCTTCGTCTGCCTTCCCATATTCGCACCTCGGATGTGTTCAACGTTAAGCATTTGGTGCCTTTTGCCGGTGACAACTCCGACGAAGACGAGGCTGGTTCGGATTCGCGGCCGAATCCTTCTCAACCGGGGGAGGATGATGGAGACGAGGCTGCCTTGGCATATTTGGATAAATTTGATCGACTTCGGATTTAGTTCTTTATTTATTTTATTTCCCTTTCCTTTTATTTATGCATTTTCCTTATTTCCTATTTTAATTTAGGTAAGAAAATAAATGCCTTGCAGTTGTTTGACAAGGTAGGACTCTCTTTTCTATTTATTAGCTGATGTGAGATTGAAGAAGACGATTGAAAAATTTTATGAAATTATCTGGTGTTCTATTTTCACGAGAGAGTATCTCGTTCTTCCCTGTTTACATATCACGTTCTACATCAAAAAGTATTATGAAATTTGATTTGTGCTTAATTAACATACTAGTACAGATCCCGTGCGATGCACGGGGTGCACAAAATTAAGGCTATTTATTAGTACAGAGTCCCTGCGATGCACGGGGTGCACAATTTTCTAGTATGTGTAATACAAATACATACCGTATGTACAGGACAGAAGCACTAAATGAGTTATTTCCACAAAGCTTGCCCGTTAAGTAGCTCCTGAACACGGGTGCACAATTTATAGTACGTACTATAAAATCAGAACAGATTTCCATACAATTAGATAATAAATTAGATAATAAATAAAACCTTTTTTTATTTTAGTAAAGATTTTACGTACTTTTTTTTTTTACTTATTGGATGTTATGAGATTTTTTTTGTAATCCAATTTTATGGGATATGATACAAATACAATTAGAGGATTGAACAAAATCAGAACAGATTTCTATACAATTAGATAATAAGAAGGAATTAGATAAGGAAAAAAAGAAATTAGATAAAGAATTTTGAATCTGCCTTTTTTTAGTATAGATAGACTTTACGTACAAATTTTGACTTCACTGATTTTATGAGTTCTGTTTTGACAAAATCAAAGACGAACACTGAAGATTGTTTCTATTAACATTTACAATGTGTATTTATTTTTTTTTTTTGGGCAAAATATTCTTTTTAAGTGTGATATATAAATATTAAAAACACTTAAAATGTTTATAACATTTATAAAAGCATCTAAAATATTCTATATTATTCACAAATAATGTTTGAAGCTACCTAAATTTTTGTAAACTACCCGTAAGGAAAGTATGTCTAAAAATTCTTCATTTAACCTCCATATATGTATATATAGAGAGAGAGAGAGCAAACATGTAAAAAAAATTATACAAATAATATTTAAAAGTATCTAAAATATTAATAACTAGACAGGTGAAATTTAAATTTTTAAAAAATCTATATAGATAATGGATTTATAGTAGTATTTAGACTTTTATATATTTATGTTTAAAGTCATTACAATAGATGAGGGATGTGGTTTTTTTTACTCGTGGAGATGGAATTTTATAAGTTGGGTTATGAAATTTTCTTAAACTCGTCCATATCTCGGCGATGAGTTTTTAAGCTGGGTATATAGATTTAAAATTGTAAAAAAAAAAAACTTTCATAAATCGTTTGATTTGGTATTTTCGGAGAGCTTCATTAATTTAAAAATGTAAAATAAATAAATAAAAAATGTACAACTGAAAAAGTTACAACCAATTGTATGGAGATTTAACTAAATCCAATTTTGTAGGATGCATTAAATATTGATTAGATTTTATATGTAAAATAAAATAAAATAAATGGGATAGTTTTACGTGTTGCAATATTTTATATTTAAAAAAATTAAAAAAATCTTCTTTTACGTATTGCATACCAACATTAGGAACTACATGTATATTCCTAAATTAATATTGCATACCCAATATTTTAGGAACTAATTAAATGCTAATTTGATTTGCATACCAAAAATATTAGATTCTTTAATTAAATGCTTGATAAAAATAGTAAATCATTAATTAGAGTTGACTATTCTACATACTACATTTAGTAAATAGTTTAGCTTTTAATATAAGTATAGATTATCTATATACTATACTATTATAAAAAGACGACTGGTTTGTAAAAAAATGAACTAGCTTAAAAACTCTTACTTTGACATATTTTTTGTAGCAAATTAGTAGTATACCTTCTTATCTTAAAAATTTATTATCTTATATTTTTAAGTAAATATGAAATACCTAAAAACCTTTACTTTGACATACTTTTAATAGCAAATGAGTAATACACTAATACTCACCATATCTAATACTTTCAGGGTCAGTTTGGTTGGGTTGATAGAGCATGATATCACCCTGCTTTTTATTGTATCAGTGTGTTTATTGTGTTTGGTTGAACTGTTTTTGGCCTTGAAAAATGAGCATGGCCCGGTCCCTTATCATTTAAATTGTTTATATACTATACTACTTTATTGGTGGGATACCTTATATCGTGCACTCTAACTTAAAAGTTCCAAAATATCCCCAACTTTTCTTTCTTCTTTTTTTTTTCTCTTCGTTCGTCCTCATCTTTTGTCTTTTCTTCTTCCTCCTTCCTCTTCTTTTCTTTTTTTTTTTTATGTTACTTCTTCTTTCTTCTCCCTTTAAAAAAAAAAAAAAAAAATTATGAAGCAACAACATAAGAAGCTTCAATTCGAATTTGGTGGATTTTGAGTTCCGTCAAGCAAATCTTCGGCGGAGTAGAAGAGGGCCGGAAAGTGGCGCCTTGAACAAGCGGTACTCTGTCGCCGCCTTGATAGTCATCATCGCCTGCCTCTTACTCTTGCTCCTCATTTTTTTTTGGCCCGACCCTAAAATTCGTTCATTTTCTTCTTCTTTGCTCAACCTTTTATGGGAAAATTTGTAAAATTGATGTTGTTTTATAAATTTTTATATATAAATTGATTCAAGTTTATGGCCGCCGCGGATTTGCGAGGTACAGAACTTGCAGATGCGGTTGAAGAACTGGAACTGCTATTTTCATTTTTCAAACTCCATTTTTTCAATTGTTCGAATAATTTTGAAAATTTAATTTGAAATGGAGGATAAAAAAGTAATTTCAACATGAATCCATTTGTAAACCAAACAAGTTAATAGCCTAACTAAATAGATGGATAGTCTTTGAAATAATCAAAAAGATATATCATGCTCAATCCATCATTTGAACCAAACGGACCCTTAACTAATAATTAATAAACTAACAATAAATACATGAACAAAATATTCCACATCTCCAAATGTGAAGAGGAATATGTAATAAGTAATGTTTGAAATCTATGATGGAGATTGGAGAGAAAACACTTGGAAAATTTGGAAACATAGATAGTTTGATCCTATTATCTATAGTATTTGTACTTACCTTTTAGGTTATATTTGATAGCAGTTAGTTTATAAGCTTCTTATATTCAAATAAATTTCGATTGACGAAATTTTTTAAACAGCTCGTGCTTATCTTATAATCTTCTTTGGATAGCTTTTCAAATAACCTCGTTTAAATTTTTGTTTTAGCTAGCTTATCAGTTAATTTTATCATATCGACTATTTTTTTAGGTATAAATTGTACGCTATAAACTTTAAAATCACTTATAAGTTATCAGTTTGAGTATCTGCTAGTTTTATCAAACACAACCTTACTTCCAATATTAGTCTGCATGACCAATTTAAATAATATGTATTCATATTTCGTAAAATACAATATTAAAAGTAGAAGGGAATGACCCTGCAAGGGTTTAGAGCATCTCCAATGGTATGTCAATTGTATAATTATAGAGGCATTAGTATAGAAAACGTCTCCAACGGTGAGTTTATTTACTTCTACATCTGATTATGTGGCATGAGAGAGACGCAAAACATCCAGAAGTCTTTCTACATCTGAAAGTCTGTCTCGACTGAATGAATAATTTATTTATTTTTTTAATTAAAATATATACCTAATACAAAAATACTCAATACAAAAATACCTGATAAATATCAAGTTACTTACTAAGAAAACACGCATATCACCTTTGAGACTTGATGAATTATTATTTGTTGAAGAAATTTTTATTAAAATACTTATAAATTTGTAAAATACTAGTATTTACTAAAATACTAGTTTTCACTAAAATACTACATAAACTTGAAGAATATTTTCAATTTATAATCTTAGTTGTTGATTAAATTATAAGTTGTCGGTATTTATTTGTACACACTATATCAAAAGGCAAATTAATTTACATACAGAAAAATAAAAGAAAAAAATTGATACTACTAAATTTATATTATACATTTAATGGTATATAGTTTTTTAAAGTTATACATTAACATACATAATATAGCAAATAAAAGTGAAAAAGAATCATAGTGTTAATATGTTTTATTTACTTTTAAGAAAATACTTGAAAAAAAACATGAAGAATATAAAAAAAATAGTGGTGAAACTATGATCACTAAAATACATTACTTAAAAATAGCTGAAGAATATTTGTTGACAGAAGGCCGTGCGATATAGACAACAACAAGATGCTTTTAGGATGGAGTGATGTTTGGAAATTACGAAGAGGACTCAGAGGATTGAGCAATGAGGTTCTGTTACACATATGAACAATTAATTTGCTTAGATAAAGGATTTTAAGGGCTGGATTGATTTGCCATGACTGCTGTTAAGCTTTCAATTGGTGTTGATATGGAATAATTGTAACTTGTGTGGTTTGTTAATATCAAGAAGACGTATTAAAAAAAATAAAGAAAACAAAAACAAAAACAAAATCAAAATCGAGACACGTTAGTTATATTGTCTTTAAGATAAAATTGCCAAATAAAATACTCACGATTAACAACAAACGCCTTCAAGATACGACTTTCGACTCATATATAACGGTACTTCAAATATATATATACAAGCCTTAAACGATTTCCATTTCACTAGCACAATACAATACAGTAACATGAATTGCCCCATAAAGAGACTTTTTTCAAGCTCCGGTCAAGCCGAGCTATGGCTGTATCACCATCAACACTTTCCTACACTACTCAATCCTCATAATATGCCTCCATTTCCACTTCACTAGCATAATACGTAACAAGAGAAGACCGAGACTTCCTCCAGTTCCAACGGGCTAATCAACATCGTGATCACCATGCCCCATGGCCAAGGAAATTCTCCACAAGAACAATCGGGCCTTCTTTGGACGACATAAGAAGCAAAGGAGTCCCACTTATGTCGTCCAACGGGCCCGGGAGGCCCTGATTTTTCTTTTGGGGTCATGCTGAGTTTTTATGCTAACACTTGGTTTAATTTCTCACAATTTCTATACTTGACATTGTTGGAATATCACTTGTGAGTGTCCCACATTGATTCTACAGGGAAAATGAGTCTAGTATATAAGCCTAGTGGGCTACTCCTCCCATCACCAATTGGTTTTGGGATGGAACCTCACTAAGGTGCATCTACGCTCACCCTCTTATGGTGCGCCTTCATCTGGTGAGACCGCACTCTCTTCCCCCGTTTCTAATAGACATAACTGCAGCTACCTGCAAGTATACAACGATTTGCATTCTAAAAAATGGCTGAAGCAAAATAAAATATCACTAGTGTTCTATGCTACAATCTGAAACTCTTCTTATGTCAGCTTCAATAGATTTCTTGACGCCCAGACGGCATGACACAGCAGAACATTGACATTCATGGGCAACTAAGACTATGGGCACAAATTATATTTATCCACATTCATGCTAGGGAAGTCGAATTCTTGTCATAGCCAAAGCCCACATACAGTTGACCGAAGCCCAGAGAACAGACGCCTGACATGACTCCACCTCTACATCTAGAGCCGGGCACTAATCCTGTTCATGCTTATCGAGCTTAATAAAGAATTTTTCTTGTTTGCACCCCGAGAACAAAGATACGATAAAGACTGCACCCAGGAAACCAGAGCAGGTTTTCGTATGACATCATCGGAATCAGCGATTTGTTGATACAGTTGATTAAGGAGCGAATTCTGGCCATTCAGAGGTAGCTGCACAATCAGCTGGGCCAATAACTTCATCAAAGTTGCTAGAACCTACAACAAACAGCATCAAGATTTTACTGAATTTAGCCAACAGATAAAAGTAGAAAACGCTTTATAGGATATAGAATACTTTGAAAAAGAAACTATTCGAATGGAAAAATTGAGTTAAATAGTGGAAAAAGAACTGGTGGAAGAACGAAACATTTTTTATATTGTGAATGGATGTGAGATAAAATGTAATGATTATATTCCTTGTTTTTCAAATCAAACGTGTTATGTGTTCTACCTGTATATCAACTAATGAGAGTAGCCGTAAAAGCAGATCTAGCAACTTTTTAGGAGGCTCCAACTCCCCTTCCCAGTTTTTCCAGTCATGGCTATCATGCCTGCTGATTGTGCTGCAGAGGCTAGTGGCCTTCTCGACAAGACTATGAATGCAAAAGAATATTGCCGGACTACCAGCGGGAAGATGTCTAACGAGTGCAGCAACTCCAGATGCCATTCCCTCAAATGGTGTAATCCCAGGATATCCCTGAGTTTTATAATTTAAGTGGCAAATACTAACTGTAGGTCATTAGCTAGAGTATTGTAATTCAAGCATATACTTAACGAAAATTATTACCTCCAACGATCTCTGTATGTAATAAAAGACAAGTTGCTCTTTCAGTAAAGCTCTTTCATCATGAGTAGGATCTTTCCCAGAAGCCATGAAAGCCACAAAGACCGAATGCGTGTATCTGGCAACTTTCCCATTGGGATGCCCCATGTATCTAAATTGATGCATTTATAAGGAATCGACAATGTTTAATTAGAACTAGTGTTAAGTCTTCAAATATTTGATATTGTGGTAATTTGATACAGGATACAGGAACATAGTGGGAGCTACCACTTTCTTAAATGTTGATGCTGGTAAACGATCAACACAAGTAGGAATAACACGCATATAAAATATGATGCGGGCAGTCTGAACCTCATCACTGGACCACAGATAGTCTGATTTTTGGAAGTTGAAAGAACCTGCAATGCATGTATTAAATTAAGGCACGAAAACTCCCAGCTAATAATAAAGTAGAAAGGACCAATAAAAGTTAGTACCGTGATTATTGATCACATCGTCATAGGAAGGCATGGACTCTATGTATTTGGCACAAGCTGATTCATTCTCCTGAACGCTTACGACAACTGCTCTAATTGCATCCATATACTCGGGCAAACGCATCCGACGAAAATATTCCATACAAGAGAACGAAATCAATACTCTTAATGAGATTTCAAGTTGACTTTCTCGGTCTATATTTGGGCCTAATCTATGTTTTGTTACTCCCAATGCAAAAACCACAACCATAAGGAATGCAGATTCAGCAATTTTCTCTATCTCCCGGATTAGATTATCTGCCTTTCCAACAAGCACCACCCTTGTCTGCCTATGCCATGAATAAACTTCCTGACAGTAATCCCATATGAGATTCTCCACCGTGCTTCTGCTGTCATCATCGGCTGATGCATATTGATTACAAAGCACACCCGTTATCGATCCGGCTTCCTTGAAGATGAAGCTACTCAGATGCCCATTGATCTCATCAAGTACTGCAGCTCGATTTTCGTCGGGAAATCTAAGAATTTTGTTACAGAAATGCTGCAAAGGGAACACTTCGGTCAACAGTGCCAACGCAAGTGAGATAAGAAACGAGGGTTTATGAGAAACTGAACCACTCCGGGATAAAGCTATTGCCATAAAATGCAAAAGAAGGTTAGCCCCAGGTTTATTTTCATCACAATCAAAACCTCTACTTCTGGGGACAAAATTCCGTGCCACAGTCTCAATTCGTTCCTCTGCGCAATTCGAAAGATACATGAAACCACTTGTTCCAGATCTATTTACAGCCCTCAGCACACCAGCTGCAGCCATGATCACAGCATACGAAAAATATGCAGGCTCAACATTTTCCAACACGTCTCTCAAATTTTCCATTTTATCCACGGAACGTGACCTCAAGAGATTCGATACAACCCACTCGATCAAATGCAGTAGCATCAGCCCTTGAGAAATGCCGAACTGATCGCCTCCACCCCAAAAGCAGAGCAAAATCTCTAGAATTCTTCTGAAACATATTTTCAGTGGAGAAGAGAGTGCATAACCAGCGCCCGCAAGTACAAGGGAGGCCATCTCATCAGATGAGAAAACAAATCTGATATCCTCTTCCAGAAACTTACAGAGCAAGTCCAAGCAAATACTTTTGGGTTTCTCGGACGCAGAAGATTGGAAAGCAAGGGAGCCCAGAAGTAAAATCCCTTCAGATATGAAAAGGGAATTTTTTTCAGAATGCGATTGTCGAGATAGAAGGTCTACCAGGACGTCAACAGCAGAATCAACAACCGAAGAAGCTTGTCTCGATTTCCTTACCCAGACATAAAGAAGCCTTATGAGTAAGGGAAAAGATTCCTCTGGGAGAGAGAGACCATGTGAAGATAAAGACAAAATAGAAGTTATAAGCTTTGCTTGTGGGTCTGCAACGTAAAGAACGGATTGAGAGTCGACAAGGGTCTTCAAAGCTTGGAGGTGACGGGTATCAAAGGACCGATGTTGACTTGACTCTCTAAGGTCAGCCCAAGCTTGGATTATGGCTTGAGCAGATGAAGGAGAAGACGGATGTGCTGACCGATTCTTATTGATAGTGCTCCTCAACCACTCCTCAAGGAAGAAAACTTGAGGCGGCTTTGCCATTTCCTCTAATTCACCTGCATTTATCCATAACATATCCATTAAACCAAGCTTTGAAATGATTCTCCACTTAAATTTCCTGCAAGAAAGCTCACAGGCAATTTCCCCTAAAAAATCTGATTAAAACTCCACCAAGGGCAAGCAAGAGCACAATATCAAGCCCAAAACTTCACATCAAATCCAGTTAACAGAAAAACTCAGGTATATAAGAACACATCTGATTAGGAATAGCAAACAATGTTTTCCATCTCTGTCCATTAGGAAGTAGTGAAAGTACCTTAATCGGTGTCAGCGAGAAACCTAACACACCCACACACACAAACACACACACACACACACATGTATATATATATATATATATGAGCTTAAGAAAAGATAAAATGTCCGCCAACAGTTATGCAGACCTACAAATTGATGTATCTGATTGACCGAAATTGGAGTTTCAGTAAATAGATAATTTAGCTCAGTAGATGAAGAAATTTCTCTGCGACAGTTGAAAAGATGTTGAAATTAGCAAAAGTATTGTTATCTTGTAGAATGGGACTTGCCTCAGTTGCTGCCGGAGGCAACTCCGATATCAGGAGGCGGCTGAGAGTCACGGCGGAGGGCGGTGCACAGGAAAAAGATCCCAAACTGACAATGAGAACAAAAGGTGACCCGGTCCATCCCGCCTCTATACCAGGCCGGTTTTTTTATCGAACGATGTGCTTTTATGATAACGTTGTGTGTTTTTTAGTGACACGTCAATATTAGTGTTTACAATAATTTCTCAAACCTTTGGCGCCTTCTTTTTTTTTTTTTTTTTTTTTTTTTTTTTTTTTTTTTTTTTAAACCATGACAATTTATAACTTAACTAAGAACAATATTTTTACAAATTAGATACACCAAATAGCAGTCGAATCAAGCAGTTAAAAAGCACATCTTATTACGCTAACCCACCCTTATACGACGAAATTCTTAGCCAAGTGTTTTGTGGAGGACGTGTTTAAGTTGCCCGGGGTACCACTGTCTATTGTGTCTTATTGGGATCGGATTTTTTGTGAGTAACTTCTAGAAGAAATGTTTCAAGTTGCATGGGACCAAGTTGGCAATGAGCTCGACGTGCCATCCTTAGACGGACGACCAAACCAATGTAACTAATTAAAGAATTTGAACAAGCTAAAAATATCGGAAATGCTAATTTCATTCAACTGATTCGAAATCCAAAATGAGCTAAGGGTTATATTTATATCCTGTTGAAAAGGAAAAATTGCTCCCGTAATGCATACGACACCGTTTGGGCATATGTTCATTAACTAAAAATGCAACACGCTTAAAACAAAAGAAACACGATTTTAAATGAGACAAAGAAAGAGCTGTATGGCTGGTGATGCACGTGTTGTACAGGTGTCCATAGCCACATCTTCAACACCCCCTCCTCAAGTTGGAGTAGGGTTGAAAACCATACCCAACTTGGAAATTAACAGGTTGAACTGACCAGCAGGTAGAATTTTAGTAAAAGTGTCTGCCACTTGTGAAGAAGAAGGCACATAGGAGAGCTGTATGAAACCTTCCTTGTATTTGTTCCTCACCAAATGACAATCGATTTCCAAATGCTTAGTACGTTCGTGGAACACAGGATTTGCTGTTATGTGCATGGCAGCCTTATTATCACACCAAAGAGTAATTGGCAGAGGCAAAGACAAGCCAAGATCATGACTTATGGAGTAGATCCACTGAAGTTCACAGACTGTTGCTCTCATTGCCCGGTACTCGGCTTCTGCCGATGATCTAGAGACGGTGGTTTGCTTTTTTACTTTTCCAGGATATCAAATTTTCACCCAAGAAGACACAATATCCTGTGATGGACCTCCTTATGTCCTTGCAAGCTGCCCAGTCAACATCACTATAGCTCTCAAGAATACAATCTGAAGATGCTTTGTAGTGTAAACCAAGAGATAAACGGCGCCATTTTGTTGAGTATATTTTTGGGCATGTGGTAACCGAGCTACCCGACTCGGGTCGTTCTCAAAGGAAGGCTATTCGGAGCTTCGTTCACTACCTAGTCGTCT